AAAAAAAGTTAAAAAAAAAAAAAAAAAAAAAAAAAAAATGAATAACTTTTTAATGGCAGTTTTAATAAGACTCAGCTTAAGTTAATTTACTCATGTTTAAGTGCTAAATATTTTTAATAATTGTCTTCAAATGAGACTCAATTCGTTATTAATCAACTTCAATTGAAATTTTATTTTATTTTTTTAAATTCTTAAATGAAACAAAAATTAAATTGCTTGATTCCAGTCAGTTCATTGCCGCTTTAAATATTTATTTGATTTATTAACAATAAAAAATGACATTTTCTTCTTCTTGTTTCCCTGTTTACACTGCCTACAATGATAGCATGGGCAAGTTTTTATCGTGCCACCAATTGACGTTCAGCTGAAAGTTTGCATACGAATTCACTGGCTTCAGTTGCCCATTTTTCATGTTGTTTCATGCACAAAAAGTTCACTTCATCGATAAAAAAAAATGAAAGAAAAATATAAATAAAAAGTTGTAAAACAAATTACTTTTATTTTCATTCGGCGCAAATGCCTTGAGGCCAAGCGACGTTTCAGTATAAATATTTGCCAGACAGATAAGCCGAGGGTAGTCAAGTGGGATGTGTATGTGTGTATACATATATATGTATATGTGTAGCAGCTATCTATATATATGTATATCTGTATCTGTATCTGTATCTGTTAAATGGCTGCTGAAATTTCTAACGCTCAATTATCAGCTCATCTCTAGACGTGTCGCAGCATTAGCCACAGCAAAGACACCGTTACATATATGTATGTATGTATGTATGTATGTCTTTGTATAGGTGAGCATTTATTGGTTGCTTATTCGACTTATCGTGAGCTGCAATTTGTTTTCTCCAACTCTGTCTGTGTGTGTGTGTGTGTGCGTGTGTGTGTGTGTCTCTTGGTGGCACATTGTGTTACAGAGTTGTCTCGCATTAGAGCCCAGAGCCAAACTAGTCTGGAGCACAGTGGAAGAAGGTTTTGCTCACTTTTGGAATTAATTGCCGTGGTAGCCGTGCCGTGGGTCGGCGGAGTGGGTGGAGGTGGTGCTGGAGCTGTGTATGTCAGGCATGCGTGGCACGTGAATGCCAGGCGAAAACCCATTCGCGCGCGCCTCTGTGTGTGTGTGTGTGCGAGCGTGCGTGTGTGTGCATTTAAATTACGAAATCGTGCAAAAAAGGTGCCATTAAAAAAGGCGCTCCAAACGCGTGGTTGCCCGACAAATGAAACAAAATAACGCCAAATAAACTAAATATGTATACAAAAAGAAAAGAGAATGTAAAAATAAATAAACGAAGCGAGTGCAGCTGCTGTCGCGTGACGTAAGGGCTGACGTTGCGTATACGCAATATCAGCTCTATCTCTATCTCACTCTCACTCTCACTCTCTCTCTCTCTCTGTGTGTGTGTCAATTTACCTGATAGGCAGGTGGCGGTGCGTGCGGCTGTTGTCGTTAAACGTTCTTGGCGTCGGCGGTGCCAGGAGCCGTTACCCGGCCGGGCCATAATCGTTATTCAAATGTGGCAAGGGTGAATGATACGAAATGCAATAACAATAACTGCGACAGTGAAATAAATACAAGTGAAAGCGATTCAAGAACAAACTGACAGCACCAAACACCAACAACAACAGCAACAACACGCAGCAACAGCAACAGCAACAATCAAGCAACAACACCAATTAGCAGCTTGCCAACAGCACCACCACCAGCGAGCGGTCATGTTAGCAGCCAGCCCGAGCCGCCGCACCAGCAGAGTCAAGCGAACACGTACTGAAACTATTGGAGCAGCAGCAGCGAGATGGTATTGAGCACCGAATGGTCGCAGGTGGAGGTTATTGATCTGATCAACGATGGCAACGGGCTGGGCTTCATTCTGGTGGGCGGTCGCAGCACGGGCGTTGTCATTAAAGCGCTGACGCCGGGGGGCGTGGCCGAGCGGGATCAACGACTGCAGCTGGGCGATCATCTGCTGCAGATTGGCGATGTGAATCTGCGCGGCTTCAGCTCGGAGCAAGTGGCCACAGTTCTTCGTCAGACCGGAGCTCAGGTGCGTCTGATTGTGGCTCGGCCCGTGGAGCCGACGGCCATCGATTACAATACGCTGGCCAGTCATGCGCCCATTATACCAACTAAGCTCCTCTCCGACCCGGAAGAACTGTCGCGGCATCTCTTTCAGAATCCGAGCTTGGCCACGGCGACGACACCCCTGGATGTGGGCAGTCTGGTTGGCCTGGTCACGGGCGCCCCAGCTGGCGATACGGCTGACCAGGGCAATGTGCCGCTGCCACTGTCACTGCCCCTGCCCCTGCCCCACTCACAGTCCCACACCCAGTCACAATCACAGTCACAATGCCAACCCCAATCCCTGCCTCTGTCCCTATCACTGCCCCTGCCCCCGACCATGCCCTCCATGCCCTCCATGCCCGCCATGGCCCCAGCGCCCGACACTGAGCTGGCCGATCTGCCGCTGCCGCCGATACCCGCCAATCTGGCCAGCAGCAGCAGCTCCTGCCTGCAGGATCCCGACATAGTGCCCTACTCCATACTGTCGCCACCTCCGACGACAGCGCTGCTCACGGCGCGACAGTCGCTGCAATTGCCGCTGGGTCAGTGCTGGCAGACTGAGGACGACGACGACGAGGATGAGGCGCAGCAGCAGGTGGGTGGGGAGGATGGGGAAGGAGGTGGGCAGCGGGCGCAGCATGTGGATGGCACTGTGATAGCCGGCAAAGGGCCGGCAAATGACGGCGACTGCTGCTCCGTGGACTCCGAGTCGCCCTCCACATACGTGGACTCGCCCGAAACGGAAACGTACGTCGTGGTGCTGCACAAGAACGTCTACGGGCTGGGCATCACCGTGGCCGGCTACGTCTGCGAGGAGGAGGATCTGTCCGGCATCTTTGTGAAGAGCATCATCGAGGGCAGCGCCGCCGAGATGAGCCGCCAAATTCAGATCAACGATCGCATCGTCGCCGTCGACGGCCGCACCTTGGCCGGCGTGACCAATCATCAGGCTGTGGAGCTGCTGCGCAACACGGACATTGAGGTGCATCTGACGCTGGAGCGTTTTCTGCGCGGCCGCAAGTTTGAGCATCTGCAGGTGGCCCTCACCGAGATGAAGGTGGGCGGCGGCAGCGCCAATGCCAACGATGGCGATGCCCAGTCCCAGCTGTCGATGCCCGCCTCGCCCTCGATAGCGACGCTCAGCTGGCTGCCGCCGAAATCGGCCGACGCGGACTCCATTGTCACCGATGCCGGCGATGGCCAGCTGCTGCCCGACTTTCCCGAGCTGCCCTCGCGGGACACCGTCGACTCGAACATGTCGCACATGCTGGACCGCAGCGACCACAGTGCTCCGCCGCTCACCAATGGCACTGGCAGCGGCTTGGGCCTTGGACTGGGTGGGCATGGCCACGATCACGACAGCGGCAACGACACCGACGAGCAGTGTCCAGAGCCGGAGTCTGAATTGAAGCTGCCACAGCCGCCGCAGCCGCAGACGCAGCCGCAGACGCAGCCGCAGACGCAGCCGCAGCCCCTGCCACAGTTCAAGTCAAAGTCAGAGACTGAGTCGATAGCAGCGGCAGCCGTCGGCGAGCCGGAGCATGGCAAGACGCCCACCAATGAGCCGGATGTGCCAGCGTTTAAGGGCACTGACACGGCCACGCCCGCCAAAGTGTCCAGCCCCAGCGCCGCCTCGCTGCGGGTGGCCTGGAAAAGTGAGTTTCCCGAAAGTGAAATATTAGTTGCCGAAATAAATAAACTTTCAGGTCTAGGGATCAGCCTCGAGGGCACCGTCGACGTCGAGTGCGGCATTGAGAAGCGTCCGCATCATTACATACGCTCAATACTCGAGGACGGTCCCGTCGGCAAACAGGGCATACTGCGGCCGGGCGACGAGCTGCTCCAGGTGAACGAGCACAAGCTCCAGGGCCTGCGTCACATCGACGTGGTCAAGATACTGAAGGAGCTGCCGGCCAGCGTGAAACTGGTCTGTGCTCGCGGCACGCGCGCTCCCTCGATAATCAACACCTCCCAGAATCCGGAGGCCTTCGAGACGCGCAGCCTGCTGCCCGGCGGCCATCAAAGTCTTCAGAATCTGCTGAGCAAGGCGCAGTCGGAGAGCTCCCTCTACACGTCGAGCACGGCAACGCTGACAGAATCAGCGACGGCAGCTGGAGCTGCAGCTGCCACCGCCGCCGGCGCCGCCGGAGCGACAGTGCAGCGCTCCAAGTCGCTGGACAACATGTCCGGTCTGGCGCTGTGGAGCAGCGACGTGACAGTGGTGCACATTGAAAAGTCAGAGCAGGGCTTCGGTTTCTCCATACTCGACTATCAGGATCCCCTCGATGCGGAGGGCAGTGTGATTGTGATACGTGGTCTGATACGCGGTGGTGCTGCGGAGGCAACCAACGAGATCTTTCCGGGCGATCGTCTAATCAGCGTCGGCGAGCACTCGCTCCAAGGCCTCGAGCTGGACGAGGCGGTGGCCATACTGAAGGCCATGCCACCGGGTCGAACGCGTCTCGGCATTTGCCGACCCCTCTCCACCTCGGACAGCAACAGCAACAGCAACATTGCCTCGCCGATCGCCGACTCGGCGAGCAGCACATAGTGCCAGGCGGAACTACAATCTCAGCGACAGCTCATGATGCGTGAGTATTATACATTTTTATATGATAAAATATATAGATATGTACATATATATATACATGCATATATAACACTTAAAGTGCTCAGAAACAAACTTTAAGGCGCAGCAAAGCATTCGCTCTATTCTGTCTACTTTTCTCTCTCTTTCTCATATTGATTAAAAGCTAAAAATCATATTCAATTGGAGCTAGATCTCTGCCTGCAATTTCATATGCTAGAGTGAGACAACTAACTACTTTGGTCAGCTAACTACTACAGGACTGTTAAAGCTAGGAATGACACTGTTAACAGTAATGGCAATGTTAGCAAAATACTAAAGGCGCTGCCATTGGCTACAAACTTAATTTAACATTTTTTAGCATTCATTCCACTTGAGATATGTCTAGTTTGAATCTTATTAGCATTCCAATATGCAATTTCCTTGTCTATCGATCAGCCGACGTGAAGAGTCTTGGGATAGCATTTGCTATAAGAATTTTTGTTCTTTTAAATATGTGAAGCAATCGAGTATGCATCAGAATGTTCTTGAGCAGCAGCAGCTGCAGCGCCATCAGCATGTTCAAGTACCAAGTCAAAAATGCCCTGTAATTATACAAAACTGTTTGATGGGTATAACGAAATCAAGCAGATGTTGGGCATCTGAGTATTAAACAGGAAAAGCCTTTTTCATGGAGAACAAATATTTATTAAATTTAAATTCGTAAGAAAACCTCACAGTCCTTTAACAAAAATATTTTATCTCGATTATCTTTGTATATGCAAAAATTTGTAAATAAATATGTAAATTAGTTAGGCACACAAAAGTTTGGAGAACTTTTCGAGCACTTGAACAGGGGCAGCAATATCTGTCCAGGGTATCTCTTTGTGCACTTCAAGCTAAGCATTCACAAATGCCAAATCGTTTCAAACGGTGTTTTGCACCTGTTGCCGTTATAATATGAATTCGATTGCCAATGCCATTTCCATTGGCAAAGCGGATTGCCTGGGCTATAATTGAATCATCTTTTGAGGCAGCTGTCGCCAGTTTCCTGACGAGTTTTCTTATGCACGCTCAGAGTGTGAAGCGGCAATATTGGTTTGCCAGTGAGATTATGAGCTAGGCTGAAGTAAAAAAAGTTTCAGTACTTATCATATAGCTAGAGGTAGAGTATATTATATTTCAATTAATAAGATCAATAAGCTGTACATTAATTTAACAATGAGCCTGTAGTACACAGTTGTGCATACCCGTTTGGCACATTTTGACTCGCTCTTTATTATATTCGTTCATTTTTTCCGTTCGTTTTTCGCTTTTTGTGAGCCCCAACGTCTGTCAGTGACAAATGCTGCCACTTCAATTTGGTCTCCTTTAATGTTGTTCCTTTGCCACGCCCCCCACTCAGTCGTGCCAGCTCACTCGTCGGCTTTCACTCTTTTTGGCTTTGTAGTGCTTTTTGAGCCTTTATTTAATTGCTGGCCACAGCAACGCCCCGTTAACACGCCCCCGCGCCCAAACACACACACACACACGCACAGTGTTGGCAAACAAAAACTCTGTCAAATTTATAGCACTCATACCCTGTAATATCAGAAAAGGGAAAACTCAACAACGAAAAAAAAAAGGAAAACAATGCTTGAGCGTGGACTGCGGGGAAGGGCAGAGATTCGAGTGCTCGAGTGTTTCGTGTTCATCCATATGCTGACAAGAACTCTTTGCGCCTTTTGTCAGCCACTTGTTGTCCTCTAATTCGTTCTTTGATTGCCCACATTCAGTCTGGTGGACTACCTCCCTCTCCCTCTCACCCCTCCTCTCTTTCTCTTTCTCTCTTGGTGCTAGCGGCGCGTGGCAGGTGCAAAAGTTTTCTCAAAGAATCTTTGACGCAATCCGCAAAAGTTTTCATTGCACACTTTAGTTTTGATACACTCGGCAACATCTCTGATAGCAGCGCTTTGCCGGACAGGGGAATGGAGCTGGAATACAGCCGGAATATATGTATATAGTCACCTGGGTCGTTTGCTTGACACATCATTTGTGTTTTTTAAATTCAAATATATTTCATTACATTTTTTTTTTTTTACAAATTTATGTTATAAATTCACTCAGGTCTCGAGTCTCTAGGGCAGACATTTATTATCAGAGCTTTTTTTTTTCTTGTTTTTGATGTGGTTATTCTTTCGACCGAGCTCTTGCACACTCTTTTTCAGAGACTGTGAAAATATTTCAATATAAATAGCACTTGATTGCACTTGAAAGAGCTGCAAAAATGGCTAAGAGCTATGTAAGGCATCTAACAAATGTTGAAAGGAATTTCATTTACTTGTGTCTCAAGCATCAATTTGTATTTATCATGAGCTTTGCAGTCCTTTGTGAGAACTAAGTAGTCCTTAGCTAATTCATTTCACAATTCAAAGGAACTTTCAATTCAGTGCTTCACTTCGTGTTGCCAGTTTTTCCACATAAGTAAATAGTGCGAAGATGTAGAATAGAGGGTTTTATGGAGAGTTGATAAATTAGTTTTGCGTGCTATACACTGAGCGTCATCGGTATAACGTTCTCCTCACTTTCTCTGTTAATGTTAAAAATTATTTATGGTTGAAGAAAACTATTTTGTTTTTCAATAACCTGTTTTATTTTTCTTAACATAAAACTAAATTCAGATTAGTATCCTCTAAGAAATATTTAAATGAAAGTTTTTTAATAGATTATTAAGAACTTTTCCTTTAGCGAAAGTATAAGTTTTGTCAATATTTTCTGCATAAATATTTCGTTTCAATACTTTTATTTCAAACATCTTTAATCAAATTGAGTAATATGAGCACCATCAAGGTAGATTAATGGTAGATCAGGTAGATCAGGATATATATACCATAAAGCTATTAACAAATTTGAAGTAAATATAAATATATCTATCGTACGTTGACTTTTGTTTGAATTATGAAAAGTCAGAACAGGGCTACGCTTTCAGTATAAGGGACTATCAGGATATGCTCGTTGTTTAGGGCAGTGTTATTACGATTTTTGTGAGTAGTACAAGGTATCTGTTCATTATTGCCAGCTTCATTTTTAAAATGTGCCAATTGAGCTCTCAGAACAACAGCTTTTATCCTGGAGTATTTCGTGTTCGTCTTCAATAATCAATCATAGGTTATATTTCTTATATCCATTATTCGATTAATCTGTCTATCTATCTGTCTATCTATCCATCGAATGTCATATAAATGGACATTTTATATTAATTACAAGTAGCAGCAACGTTTATCATATAGTATTACATAAAAAATTGCAACGCGAGCTCTACAATCAACATTGATTTCTATGGATCTGAATATATCTCTTAACAAACTAACTGAACTAGTTATAATTAGTATTGTATTTCAGCACATAGTATTCTATAACTATAGCATTCAGAGCTCTTCCAGCAATAGCTGCTCTACTCTTAGGGTATTTCAACACCGTCCTCAGCAGACATAATTTTTCTCTTGGCATTCTTTTACCTAATTGTCTCTCTATATATCTATCTCTCACATTTAAAGCCACACGAAGATCGTCTTTCAACCATTCCATATCAGCTCTCTGCTGCCATCAATTCCTCAAACTATTCTAGAGTATTTCATCGTCATCCTTAGCAGGCAGAATTTCCTTAGGCAATTCTTTCAAATTGTGTTTCAAGCGAAACAGCTTTAAGAGTTTAGAGTCCGCTTTGTGGCAGTCGGAGTCATCTGGACTTTTAAATGCCTTTTGAGTGGGCCGGAGAAAAAGTTTTAATACACCGACTGGTCGGCCGGCTGGATGTCCTAACACCTAAAGCACTGTGCAGAGGGTTCGTTCACACTAGGCGACCAAGTTGCGTTCAACTCGGTTTAGTCCTGCCATAAATAATTCATGCATAGAAATAAATACGAAACTTTGGCAGCAGAAGTTTTAAGATGTGAATGTCGCCGTTGTTGTTGCTGCTCCCCGTCTGGGCTGAAGGGACGCATCCCCCAAGAACAGACGCCAATTTGCTGGTAATCCTATGGGGGTCAACAAGCTGCGCATTAAGCACTTCACACATGTGCGTGCCAATGTGTAAGTGTGGGTGTGCGTGTGCATGTGTGAGTGTGTGTGTGTGGGGCTGTCTGCGTATGGATGTATCTCAAAATCCCATAAATAGTAATTTTATTAATTGAGTGTGTTGCTCTGCTCCACTCTGCTCCACTCTGCTCTGCTCTGCTCTCAGTCCCCGTAGTCATTCATAATTTACGATACGTTTGACATTTGTTTAAAAAATCATAATTCGCAATTGTTAAAGGCATAAATAACGAGCTACGAGCTTTCAGTTTGGTATTCGCATATTAATGCCCGCATGATTTATGTATGCTCGACGATAGATATGTGTTTTTATTATTGTTTTTCTTCGCTCTTTCTCTCTTTCGTTTTTCCTCTGTTTTTTTGTTTTTTATTGCTCGCCTTATTTGCTTTTTCAACTGGATCATGAAAAATGGAGTCCATTGTCCGGCAGCTGCCCTAGAAATAATAAAGCCTCGCAACGGCAAATTATAAAAAATTGTTTGCCGAGAAAATTTTCCCAGACGTGTGCACAGCTATGCACATACACACACGCACACACTCACACATACGCAGTCAGTTATCTATATGTAATTGTTGTTGTTTGGCCATTTAATTAATTGGCCATTAAAAGTGTTGAAAATTGAAAACAACATTTTTCGCTATTGCACGACGCGCGCAACAAAATGAACGAAAAGTCGAAAAATTGTTGGCCAGCGCCCGCGGCTGCTGCGGCTGCCCCATGGCCCATGCCCCATGCCCCGTGGCCCTTGGCCCGCGGCCCGTGGTCAGGCGAAGCGACTGATTGACTGTCCGGCGCTTAGACTCGTGTGTTTTCAATATACTATATAAGATATGAGCATATAAAAGAGGAGCTGAAAAAACATATATACTCTGTAATCACTTTGGGAATATTTGCTTTAATATAATTAAATTGCTTTTAATTGCTGTCAAATAGAATAGGTTCGAATAGGT